TATTCGGGGGAGGAAAAGGTGTTTTAGGGGGTATCCAAAAGGGCAAGAGAAAGCGCACTGGAGATCGACGGGTCCCCTTATTTTTCTTGATGATTATCCCCCCCCCATATATATATCCCAGATATATAAGTTTGGGAAGGAGCCCCCCCCCCGTTCCCTCTGGGCGCGCCCCCTCGGCGAGCTTGTGACGAAGCGCCAATTGACGTAGCTAACAGGCCATGAAACGCGAGGTCAGCGCAACTGTATCTTAATGGGGTGTCGCGAATCGGCGCTTCGTCGGAGCGCGGCGAGCGCTTTCCACGCCCGACGAGCCTGCCTTTGAACTTCCCCCGGCCGCCAGAGGCTCCGGCACCCGAGGCGGAGGCGGAGGCGACGCGGGCAGAAGAGAAGGAGGAGGGTACTTCACGCGCGGGAAGGATCGCGGTGCGCACAGTCGAGAGTCGCCTGGGGGTCCACAGCGGGGAAGCATCAGCAGGGGAATCGCTGCTCTGGCCGAGGGAGACGCAGAGGCTGCTGGAGTCCTATTGCGTTGTGTGTGTGTGTGTGTGTGTGTGTGTGTGTAAGTAAATAAGTAACTGTAAGTGGTGGAAAAGAATCAGGGCCCCTGAACAGGATGGATGATTAAGTTAGTAAGTATACCGCCCTATACCCGCAGGTGTCAGGGAGGTTGTTACCACATAAAATCACAATATAAAAACACAAAATATATAACAAAAATCAAAAAATAACAACCCAATAACCTACCCACCCCACTCCCCAACACATTTTTAAAGCGCCTTGGATGTTGCAGAAGGATATACACAGGTTTCCAGAAAGACAGGAGCACTCTGCGACAATCTGTGTCACCTCCGTGCGACTAGAATGGATGGATCGATGGATGGATGGACGACACGCGCAAATTTGCACAGATGCGTCGGTCCAGCAAGCTGGAGATCCGCCGCTCTGTGCTTGCAGCATAGACACACAGAAACGGGAGCAAGTGAGCGCGCAGACACAACGTTAAAGTGCAGGAGCCATCACGCACACCTCTCATCCCGGGGCAACAGGTCTATATTGCCCCATCTCTGAATCCTTTTCTCCATCCAAGTCCCTTAAGTGTGACTGTAATTCTGAACATACCTACTGGCAGATTTGTTTCGAATTACAATGGAGTAGATTCAGTGTGGTACCCAGTGGTGTAGCGTGGGTTGTCAGCACCCGGGGCAAGGCAAGTAATTTGCACCCCCTAACCCGTGGATTTGCGCCCCCTAACCCTAACCCCCAGATGTTGCGCCCGGTGCGGCCGGCCCCCCCTGCACCCCCCACGCTATGCCACTGGTGGTACCGTCAAGAGCCGGATTTAGGGACAGATGTTCGGGGCCCCACTCAAGAGAATGGATAGGATGGTCCACCAACGCAACAGTGCTGGCTTACTAAAGTAATAGGCAGCGCCATCTCAAGATCCACCTCCACCACCACCATTAAACCAGAGTCTACAATGATCTAATTCAGGGTTTCCCAAACTTGGGTCTCCAGCTGTTTTTGGACTACATTTCGCATCTTCCCTAGCTAGCAGGACCCGGTGGTCAGGGATGATGGGAGCTGTAGTCCCAAAACAGCCGGAGACCCAAGTTTGTGAAACCCTGATCTAACTAAACCACTGGGTGGAGGTAGGAGCGCAGAGAGAGAAAGTGTTTTCCCTGTCTCCTCTTTAACACACACACACACGTTATTCCTGCTTGTTTGCAATAGCCTTTGTTCCTTGTAAGGTTGTGTGCACGCTGCACATCTTTTATATTTAATGACCAGGACATCGTGGTTAATGCAGGCCAGTGCCTGGCCAGGAGACACCCAGAAGCGCAGAGAAAACTCACCCTATATTCGATCGCTCAAATGCCAGGCCTGGGTAGACACGTGTGAACACCGTACACGTGGCAGAGGGACTCCCTGTTATTTCGTGCATGAGCTAGTGCATTGTGCCCGTAAAACTATATAGCTCCTCGTTTGCTCTTGGGGATTCCCTCGCACGTATACAGTTCAAAATATCAACCCTCGTCCCATTTTTCAGTCAAATGTACACCTCTAGCTGTCTGTACACTCCAAGTCTATTGTTCTTCCCTTCTTCTGTAGCATGTGTGTCACCTCTTTTCTTTTGAGTTCATCGTCTGAACAACAGCGAGACACTGTGATGTAAGCCCAGGGATGGGCAGAGTTCAGGTTTGTCAGATCTACTTTGCTCCCCACCCCCGCTTCTTCTAGGAGCCCAAGATCTACCAAGGCAGAGTCACAGACTATAAGGAAAGTGAGCATATTCTGAGCCCAGGGATTTGTTTTCGGTCCCAAGATCTCAGCTCACGGTTCTTTCACACAAAAGCCCCCTCCTGGTTCCTTCATTTCCGCAGCCTACTTTCAGGTAGGAAAAGCCGTTTTGTTCTTGCTGTTGTTGAGCAATCGGGAGTTAAAAGCCTTCGCCCAAATACTGCAAATCACCGAGAGATCGACCAGCCGATGCTGGTGTACCTCCTCCTACCGACCCCTGAGGCAGGCATTCAGAGTAAATAATTCTTAAAAGGAAACAAACCCACAGGTAGAGGTTTCATATTACCTACATCACAATTATTTGCCGTGGAGTCCCTTCAGACATTCAGCGGTAAGTCAACAAGTATTGAGAAATAGCGTTGTGAACCTGTCCTCCCTAATACCTAGGTGCGTAAAGTGTCTCTGATGTGGACGTGGAAAAGGTTACCTAAATTCAGGGCTGCTTCCTGAAGGATGAGTTTTTCTGCATCCGAAAGAACACACTCGGTTTAAAAACATTGCATGTCGGTAGGTAGGAAATTCATGCGGTGGCAAAACTGCGACAGAGTGTTCACACGTGCAAGGCTGTCGTTGCTGCAGTTAACCTGCGGTAAAAATGAACGTGTGAAGCTGGGCTGAATGGCTGGCAGCTAAATGTCAGTCGACTTCACTGACAAACTCTGCCTTGGAAGTGCTGTAAGACGCGACGGCTCTTTCTGTCACGCTGTATCTTTTCATGGCCCCCTTCACACGTGTAAGTAATCAAGCAAGCAACCAGCTCGTGTCAAGAAACCCTTCATCTGAATGGCACAAGTCTACACGTGTGCATCTTTATTCGCCTGCCTTATAGCCATATTGAGAAATCACAAATCCCATAGAAGTCAATGGGATTCATTTCAAGTAAAAGAGCTTAGCCGAGTTGGGGCGTTACTTGGAAGTAAGCGAGATCAATGGAGCTTAAGTAAATAAACGCGCTCAAGTCAGCGTGGGTGAAATGCAAAACCGCCAATTTACTCCAGCTCCAATAACTTTTTTCCTCCTATGGGCGTGGTTTGTCGGTCGTTGCTACTTTAAAAATAAAATTTGGCAAGAAGATGAAGAATGAGCTGGGGGTTAAAAAAAAAAAAAAGCCCAAAACAAATCAACTCAAAATGAATTCAGACTCCGGAGATCATAACCTTCGAGCGCGATGCTTCCCTCCGTCTTCCACCCCCACCGGTAACTAAGACAAAAGTGGATCACGGCTGATTTAAAGCCTTGTTTGTGTGAGAGCACATTTTCCCCCTGCTTAGAAGAGATGAAGTCTTTGAAGATGGCCAACTTCGTGTCAATAAGTGCCTTTTCTTTGAGCCATATTCAGATGGGAAAAGTCTTGCTTGCCAATTGCCATAGAAATCTTAACGCACCATGAAGATTGCCCAAGCGCCGAGCCTTCCGTTCTGGCGCAAATTACTTTGAAGTGGCGCAAGACGTGCAGTGGTCAATTTCAGCTCTATAGACCGAGGGGAGAGGGAGAGACGGGGCGTTGGAAGGCAGAAAACAAGAAGGGGAAAACTTGTTTTAGGCTCCTCATTGTCAGATATCTTTTATCTCTGATATATTTCCCATGAATGATTCATGCCTTGGAGTAGGGTGCGGGGTGGGCTTTGTGTGCTGCCCTCCTTTTCACCAGAAACTCCGTTAGTCCACCCTTTCCCCAATCCGAAAGGTCCTCATTCTTCATGGCGTCTAAGCAACTCTTTGCAACCGGTTGCACCTTCGCCACCTGAGGCCAAAATCAACCACGTTGGCTGTGGGAAATCGTATTGAGGAACTCAACACGCGAACAGTAATGTGGACATGGTTAAGATACAAACTTAAAGGATAGTTGTATTAAGGTTCAGCAGAACTTCATTCCTGTTCACTCCTTGTCTAGCATTTTGCAGCTCCCACATGCTATCTTGTCCCATCTACATTACTTTGATTTCATCAGCACTATTTCCAATTGATTTTAATAGCACTTTTGTTGAGAGTGGCACACTGTCCACTGTTTGAACGTTTAGATTTAAGGTAAGTACGTAGGCCACATTGACGAAGTGTCCACAGTGCTTAAGAGACACCTCAGTAATACTAACTTCCCTCTTCTATTGTGTGTCAATATTTAAGACAGAAGTCTGTTCTCCATCCACCCAAACTGTTATGATCCCTATTAAAATCCAAAGCTCCCCCCCCCCAACTTCCTGCACCTCTTAGGTGAACGCCATTTTCATTCTAAGAGAACAAGGGTTCATGGCAAGTCCCAGCACCATTTTTTCTAGAACAATAGCACTGTTTAAATCCACATACAAATGTATCAATTCACATGAATGAACTTTGCCACACCCTCATGTATGTGGTTTAACCATGTCCTTTAATTTATCAATGAGATTGGCCTTCAGATTCTGGTGGATTTCTTTAGACTGCTTACAAGCAAGACCAACTTCCACTAAACATGATTTGGATGAGCCAAACCATTTGTACCAAATTTCTCATGGCAATGTATAAGCACACCTATAAAATAAGTGAGAAGGTTGTTTTGTACTTAATGATTTCCCTTACAATTATTTTTCTTTCAAGGATGGGGCAATCACTGAATTCCTAACTTGAGTACTCTGTAAGCCACTCTGTTATCATAATTTGTCCCCCAACAATAAAGCACAAGTAAAAAATAAGATTTTTTTTTAATTTTACTTTTAACCATTCTTGCTTTCTTATGACCAGGTTTACAGATATGAAGGAGGTATTGCATGTTTTAAAAATATGAGGAAAAGCAGTGGCACAGCAGACAAACAGTATGTTGCTCCTGGTACCCCAAAATGAAAATCCCATTTACATGGAAGTAAGTCTATTGAAACCAGATACTTACTTCCCAGCAAATGTATTTCCGTGAAGGCATTAATTTCACATTAAACAAAACATGAAGGTGTAGTAATGGATAGTGCAATCTATTTGGTAGGAGGGGAACAAAGTGTATAAATTAAACATTTTTTTTAATTCAGGAAATTTTCTAAAAAAGCTCACCAAAACATAAATTATCCTTTAAAAGTCCATGTCTTACTTCATGATAGTTTTTCCTTGTTATTCAAATGGGTTTTGAAGGAGAAAAGGAATGCAATTCAAATAAACAATTTTAAGAAGTGGTTTGTATTCAAGTTCTCATTTATATATTTATAGATATAGATATTAAAATGAATGTCCTTTTTCTGTTCATGTAACAATATGATCAGGACATTTAAAGGCTTCCAGATGGACAGCACCATGCACTGTACTAAGAAACAAATATCTCTATAAACTATATTGAATCACCAACACACTGCACAGGAGACATGCAGGAAGGACCTGTTTTCACATTACATTGTTCATTCAAGTAACTTGAAAAATATAAGGACTTTCCCCCGCCCCCAGAAAAACAACCACAGAATCATAGACAACCTATCACCAAAATTAATAATGTTCTTCTTTGGTGTGCTCTGTACTCTTTAAAAAGAAATAAGAAAGAAGTTGATATCTAAAAATAAAAAAATAAATTAATTCCGCTGTACAAAATAGATCACTTCCACATACAAGTTATAACAATGACAAGACTATGTATCACAGCACACAAGACACAAAAAAATCCCCACACATTTCTACAAGCCCTGGTAATGGGTTGGTGACTGGTTACTTATTCAGTGGTCTCAGAGGATAAATTAGTGCTCTTTAGATTATCTGTAGGGTGTTTATGATGAACCAGCATTTTACACGTGAAATATGTCGTACCAACTGCATCAGAAATTGTCAGCATTCCATGACCTCACTCTATAATAGCTTGGCAGCTAGGCCAAAGGTAATCTACTCAGCATCCCCCTCCCTCCATTTTTACATTTATGTCAGTTTGCTTTCCCCAGTGCACTTTGGTCAATGGCACACCGCATAAGAAACAGGATCGCAGATGCTGAAAAAAATAGAGATAGAAGTAATTTATGAAACCTTTTGTGCATGAAAGGGTGTTAAGCTGGATCAGTAAAATATAGTATCTTCCAGAAAGTCATGTGCCACTCTTAGCATCATAACTCTTTCAACAGGGAGACTTTGACATAGTAACAGCTGTGAAGTTCACAGCACTTTTGACCTAACACTATAGGCTGGGCTTCATTCCCAAATATGCTTACTCATAAATCCAATTTACTCTGATTCAATGTGACTAGCTTGCAAGGAAGCGTGTTTAGACTCATGGCCTCTGCTATATCGCATATAAAGATAGATCTCATTTAGCGACACTCCTATGACAAGGAAAAACCATTAAGCAGTCCTGCTAAGACACATACTAATGAGTAACACTGAAACCAGTGGGACAAATGTCTTTAGAGCACAATTCGTTGAATGTGTTAAACAACAATAATCATAGCAACTGATTTAATTCCCTCCCCTTTCAGGGTTAGAGCTTAGAAAGACATTAAAAAAAAGAAAAGGAAAGGAAAATTAAAATAATTGAGACATTAACAGTGCAATCATATGGAGGTCTACTCAGAAGTAAGTCCTATTGAATTCAATGGGACTTACAGTCACACCAGTGTGTATAAGGTACTGCCTAACAGTACTGTTCTTAAGTATTCTTATTGGAAGTAAGCCCCTTCAGTGCAACTTTCTTCCGAGTAAGCATGTTTAGGATCAGATGGCTAAAGAAATAAAATGAAACAAAACCCAACCCCCCTTGCTCAATAGCGTTTGTGAAATCCTACACAACTAGGATTGTGACTGCTCTCCCTCCCACCCACCCAGCATATCTACTTGGAAGCGAGTTCCATTTAAAACAATGGACTGATCTTCCATATAAGCAAATTTAGCACTGCTCTATAAAGGTGCCACCTTGAATCTTGTGGTGGTGAATTTCAACATTGGTTTTAGTGCGATGCAAACTGCAACCCAAGGTCTACGTTTCAGCATTCCGTTTTGAGATTTTGAGGACTTAAGATTTCAGAGGCAGTGAACTGTACCTATACATTATCGTACACGTACATATACAGTACTTGGATGCAAGAAACCAGTTGGCAGTTTCACAGGTGATGGCTGTGGGATAGAGGCCTAGATGAAAGAACGTGCCTTTTCAAAAATAGGTGGACAAGCTTAAGGAATCCACTCCTGGCACAGAGAAAGCCCATTAGCTTCCCAGTTACATTCATAAGCCACATTCCTCCTGCTTTTATTTTGGGAAAACTATCACACCGAATTGTCAACCTGGCAGTGCACACACTGAAGATCAAGCAACACAAAGGTGAACTCCCTCTGACGTCTTCCATAAACATAGGGTAGGGTAGGGAATATGCACAATGGATTACTGTTACAGTCCGGCTTGGTGGTTTGCTTTTGTAAAAAAGATTATTCTTTTTAATTAAAAAAGAGAGAGACACACAAGTCCAATGTCTTAATTAAATTAGTTACATGTTACAAACACCATAGGGTTTCATAATACTGAATAAATAGCCCAAATTAACCAAGATGGCATGATCGTGCCATCTTCAAAGTTCTGCCTCCCTCCCAGTTCTAATGAATAGTTCTTGTCTCAGAGTTCCTATAAATTTCTTCCTCGTTCTCTTCCTCCTCAGAAGATGTGGCATTACTGGATGGCGTATGGAGGTGGTTCGGGGCCCCAGTGGCCTGGCACACATACCATTCATTGAGATTGGTGACCTGAGGAGAAAGGTTGACAGGGCGGCCCCTGCCAGAGTCCTGGAGAGGGGACAGAGGGGCACCCAGTGGTGTCCCCGTGGGTTGGTAGCCATGAGATCCTGGGGTAGGAGAAGGCGGCGGGGATTTGCAATGGATCTTCATGTGCTTGCGCAAGGAGCTCGGATGTGTGTAAGACTTGTCACAGCCTCTGACTTTGCAGAAATATGGCTTGTCACTGGTGTGGACATGAGAGTGTTTCTTTCTGTCACTGCTATTGGCAAACTTCCTGTCGCAGCCATCAAATTCACATTTAAAAGGCTTCTCTCCTGAAAGAGAAAAACATCCATAATGGACCTCTTTGTGAAAGGAAAGAAAGAAATCCCAAAACTTTGAATTTACATGTCAAACCAAACACAGGAACAGGGGAGACAGAGACTAGAGAGGATTGCAAAACAAAGACTCAGCAGATAAAATTGACTCCAGTCTTTACCATCCCTCCAATAGCTTAACTTTTCAATCATTATTATTATTATTACACAGAGAGAGTGAGCAGGTTTACATTTGCTCCAAAATGTAGTCCACAATGTTAAAGAATATTTTCTAAACTGTGATCATGACATTCAGATAAACATATCCAGGACAATGGGAATGTCTCTCCTTATTCCATGCCCATATTTCTCTTGCAAATGAAAAATTTAAATGATGGATTAAAGTAGGGGCTTACATGTCCATACACGGATATGGCTTTATCTCCAGACAAACCCATATTGTCCTAATCCCTTCCCTTGTGGTTTGCAAGAAGAGATTCTCCTTTTTCTAAAATAAAAGTAGCACCTGTTTAAACACATTGCTCTCCCTCTTTTCCTTTTTTTAAACCATTGTCAACAGATCAGGCTCTCAAAGAGGGGCACCCTCTCTTCCCCTCCCTTCTCTGACATTCTTAGCTTTTTACAGCTTGCTCATTATTGAGAAAGCTACCCACTCCATGAGCAGTGAGCTGGCCAAGATCTCTTTACCTAGGACTAGTTTATGCTTCGAAATAAGATGGTGAATCTGTTTAAATAGGTTTAATGTGCATCTTGAGGGTGATTGTGAAAGCCACCCTCAGGGCCTTTACTTCTGGCATGTCACTGGCTCCAAGGTATAATGCAATTCTACAATTATTTTCCAAGGTTCTGGAAGCAAAAAGGCAGGAATAATTTCTGCTGCCACAAGTGGACATGGGTTTAGCGTTACTTTATTTCAAAAAGGGATTTTTTAAAAAAATTAATCCCATCCATACATGGAGGCAAAAATATGCTAAAATGTGAATTTTATTTATAGACACCCAAATAAGACATCAGGATTGCACCCCAATATTAATACGCGTTTCCTAGTCAACAAGGTAATTCAGTATTTTCATCCAACTCAATCTTGAGCATGTTTACTCAGAAATACTACATAGTTCCACTTGGCTTCCAGGTTAAGCACAAGTAGGATTGCGACCTTTGTTGTTTTACTGGTGAAAACAGCATCTATCTGCTCCTTTTTGGGAAAGGCAGAAGGTTTAATTTATGGCATTCCTTTTCCTGTGTAAATACAGGCAGATCCCAACTTACCAATTCTACTTCAATCACAAATGCATTATTTCAACCAGAAAACGTCTCCTGGTGATATGTGGCAATTGAACAGAAATTATACAGCCTTTCAGAAGTCTCAAAAGTATTTCCAACGAAATGTCGTTGCTATAAAATGGGATAAAGATTCTACATGAAAAAGGTAAAAGATCCAAACCTCAGTGCCAAGCCTATTCACTTGGCAGCAAGTAAGGCCACTGAGCTCAGTTACTTCCAAGTAACTGTGTTTCGGATCATTCTGGTCAACATAGCCTAGTGTTGTCCTTTCAGCTGAAATATCCTGAGACAGAAGGTTGGTGTTTTGCTATTTATTTAAGGAAAGCATTTTAGGGTTACTATATGTCCTTTTTTTCCAGGACACATTCTCTTTTTAAAAATGATAGTGGCCATAGGTGTCCATAGTTAAATGTAGAAGCCAGAAAATGTGTCTTATTTCTCGCTCTTCAAAATATGGCATAATTGGGTTTGCATGTGCGTTTGTCTGTCTAGAACCTGTTTCAGCAATCGCTAATCAGATTTGCCTGCTTTTAACTTCGGTCGACTCTATTTTTTAATATATATATTTAATTAAGGCCAGCAGCACTAGGTTTTGGGAAGAGGACCGACTTTCAAGGGATGCCCTGGTTGCTATGCTCATACATCCCGAAGCGAGATGCCCATGCCATCCTGATGTTTATTTTGGTCTTGTCTCTGACGAAAGGTTCACGTCAGAGTTTAACCATTTGCAGATTATCTCGGTTTTAAGCCGAGAGATGCGCAGTCGAAAAGCAACGGTTCTCGCTGAGGAAAAGACTGCTCGCTCCCTTTTGCGCGCCGAGAAAGGAAACTTCACCGCCTACTAATTCGAAGCGAGGTCGGCGGCCCGTTTCCACAAACCGCGCAAGCGGTTCAGGGCTCAGGGAGGCAACAACTTGCGGCATCGATCAAGAGACAAGCCGCCGGCTATCTTTAAAAACAAAACCAACCACACGAAAGCCAAGCGCAGGGCGATTTCCCCCCACCACCATTGGGAGCTCAACTCGTTCTCAACCAAACAGAACAAAAAAAAGGGGGGAAGAGGAAAACTCATTTGCTGCTTAAACCCAAACATACGATCCTTGATCTTGAAACTCAAATTTCTTACGTTAACACGAACCTATTCTGGTCTTAGGGGAGAAGCCTGTAGGAGAGCGAGAAGAAACCAAGAAGGGCGCGAGATTGCAAAATTACGCACAGAAATGCCGAGGTTGCTTCGGACAATCTTAAACTTCCGTTTGGCTGCGCCAAATGAAGCGGGAGGCGGAGCATTTTGACTCCCTGGCCTGGGAATCAGGGACCCCTCGGTTGGGCAGGAGGAACCTCCTGGAGAGAAGGGGAAAGGGCGCCTGAAGCCGCTCTCCTCGGCTTCCGGGGAGTCGTTTTGCCCTCGCCCGCAAGAGGAGAAAGTGGAGCTGTTAACGGGCAATAGAGCTGCTTATGCTACAGTCAACTCGAGCTCCCTGGCCAGGGCTTCCGTGCCAGCACGTGGCCGTGGAAAGAGTTCCCTGCCAGCACCGGATCTTGCAAACCGTGCAGAAGCGTTTTGCAACCGTGTGCCCCTGCAACACTGTTGCAGAAAAAACACCGAGCAGCTTTCTGCGGCGCTCCTCGGCCCCTCCGGATCTTCAGTCGTGGGTCTTTTGTCTGCAACAGGCGGTGGGGATCGGGCCGGCTTCAGATCCCCACCCAACCCTACCCGACCGACGAGCACCGGTCAGGAGGAGCGGCGGGGCTCCAGCTATTCCCCCACCTGCAAGAGCCTCGGCCCGAAGGAACCAGACTCGGATCTTCTTCCCAGCGGCAATAGCAAGGGCACTGTGTGGGCAGCCTCAAGCGGGCGAGGGCGAGATGAGCCGAACATCGGAGTTCTCCAGCTGGAAAAGGAGCTGTGTGAATGGAAGGACGAGCAGGAAAGCCCTTGCGAGGCTTTCTTCCTGCCCCTCCTCCCAGAGCACCAGCAGGGTTTTCCCCGGGCGAGAGCCCTACAATTACTGCACAGAAACCAGCCCTTGCAAGTTGCAAGCATCTTCTTTAGGAGAGTCTGCAAAACTCCCAGTAAGGCCCTTCCGGAGCAGACTCGGCCTCCAAGGCCTAAAAGCACCGCGCTCCTCTTCGCTTGCAGGACAGATCCACCCCCCCCACTCCCCGCTCCATGGGGCTGCGTGGGAGGGGGGTGCTCAGGGCTCGCACAGATGGGCTCAACCCTGCGAATTCACCATCTAAAAATCGATAGCTTTTGCCGCCAGGGGCTATTTGCATGGGAGTTTGAACAGCGCGTTGCACCTTGTCCGCCTCGCCACCCCCCTTTCCTTTTTTTTTTTTTTTTTGCAACAACACACAATAAATCATGAAAACAATTAGGTGGAGCCCACTCCGGCCTTTGCCCCCCCTTCCCTATAAGCAGCCTCCGGTGGATAATATCTGTCTACACGCAACTATAAATCCCAACCGCCTTTTAAGTGAAGCCAAAAGGCCAGGGGCAAATCAAAACCAAGCTGTAAAAGATACAGCGCCATAAACGGAACTTCATTGAAATAGCTAGTCTGGCGGAGACACGCACAAAGGCACATCCGCGTCGCCTTCCCTTCCCATTTGTTCTCAAAAGCACTATTCCGAATCGCTATAGCAGCGCTCCCTCCATCGAAACACACCTTTAAACCAACAACATATCTTTTAAAAGCCCTTGCCTATCACTTCCCCGAAAACAACTAAGGGAGAAAAACTCCCCCCAGGGAAAGTAAAATATTGGTGGTCTCATTTGAAAAGTACCCCCTCTTGAGAGGCAACATGATCAAATCCCCTGACTCTCTCCTTCATATATAAAAAAGAAAACAAAACCCAAACAAATAAAAGCATAGGAGAAACTTTTTGAAAAGTGAATTGACCAGAATAAAGTTTGGGGTTTGCCCTTTCTTTCCACTATCTAAGAGGAGTACTGGACACCATAGGTGCCGGCTCCCTGGGCCCCTGGTGCCCGAGGACCCACAAAATTCACCATGAAGGGACCTGGCCTGGCACCCACAAATTTCGTCGCCAGGACCATGTACGCTGCATAGCACCCACAGCCCCGGGCACCCACGGTCGCGGGGCCAAACTGGCACTCCTGCTGGGCACACCGCAGGCCTTCGTGGGACTCCTCCGTTCTTCCCACTTTCGTGGGAGCTCCTAGCTATCCACAGCGCTCTTAGTTTGCCTGCTGAGGAATTCTGTGGCGCCGGGAAGCCTTCCTCGCTCTCACCAAAACCGCAGCGGGTACAACGCATAAGACCCGCGAGCCATTCCCAAACCACGCATACACAGACAACGCAGACATATCAAGGAAGACTCACTCTCCCGCTGCAGCCCCAAAGAGCTGGTGAAATTACTTATTCATGACAAACGTCACACGTCTGAGGGTACGTAGGAGATAGAGGAAGGAGGGAGGAGGGGGTAGAGAAAAGAAGCCGGAGACGCGGCCAGAGAAAGGCGCGCGCTCCTGTCGTGCCACCCACCTGTGTGCGTCCTTTTGTGGATCTTGAGGTTCTCGGAGCGCGCGAAGACCTTCCCGCAGCCGGGGAAGGGGCACGGGAAGGGCTTCTCGCCAGTGTGCACGCGGATGTGGTTGATGAGCTTGTACTTGGCCTTGAAGGGCTTCCCTTCGCGGGGACACTCCTCCCAGAAGCACACGTGGCTGCTCTGCTCGGGCCCGCCGACGTGCTCCACCGTGACGTGATTGACCAGCTCGTGCATGGTGCTGTAGGTCTGCGAGCAGGGCGGCGCGGCCGCCTCGGCCTCGATCCACTTGCAGATCAGCTCTTGCTTGATGGGCTGCCGCATGTAGCGCAGGAAGGCTGCGGCGGAGGAGGCGCCCGCCGGGTGGTGATGGTGGGGAGGCGCGTGGTGCGCATGTGCGGGAGGCGCTGGCGCCTGTTGCAGGACGGCCGCCGCCAAGTTGACCGGGTAGCCTTGCGGCGCGGCGCCGTAGGACGCTTCGGAGGCGGCGGCGGCCGCCACGGACGAAGGGCGGAAGGGCTCCACGCGCCCGTAGAACTCGGCAGCCGCCGCGGCAGCCGCAGCCACGGCCAGCCCCAGCCGCATCTGCCCGTTGAGCGGGTGGTGGCCTCCGGACGGGCCCGCCGGGTGGTCGTGCAGCCCCGGGAAGGCGGCGGCGTGAGGCTGCTCGCCGCCGGCGCCGTAGGTGCCCGCCGACGAGATGAACATGGGCGAGCTGGCCGGGTGTTGCTGCAGAGGCCGCTCGGCCCGCCGCGGCGCCGCGTACGAGGGGCTGCCGGCCGCGCCGTTGGCGCCCGCCTGCGACGACGAGGCGAAGGCGGCCTCGGCGCCGGCCGGGCTCAACTTGAGCGCCCCCGACGCCACGTGCTCCGGCCCGAAGGGAGCCGCGGCAGCCGGGTCCGAGGAGCCCAGGTCCCCCGGGTGCAAGGGCTGGAAGCCGCCACCGCTGGTGGCGCTGCTGCCTCCTCCGACGCCGACGCCATGCAATGCGGCCAGGTCGGCCAAGCGCAGGCTGGGGCTCCTCTTGCAACTCAGCGCGGGCTCCATGGCGCCGCAGCCCCGGGGCCCATCCAGGCGCGAGGGGGTCGCCTGGGCCGGCCCCGAGGGGGCGGTGGCCTTCCTCCCCCTGCCTGCCGCCGCCGAGGCTGCTGCTGCCGCCGTGGCCAGCGCCGCCGCCTTGCCAAACATGGAGCGATTAAGCGGCTCTTTAACTTCTTTTGTCTGCTCCGTTTCCCAACTCGGCTGCTGCTGCCATCCTCTCCCCGCTCTGGCCTCCAGCGATTGGCAGAGCGCTCGGCACATTTGAGCGGCGCGGTTGGGAACCAGAGTTTGGAAATGTGCGCGGGTGGGATTGGAGGGAGGCCGGTGATTGGCAGAGGCCAGGCCAGCGCGATTGGCTCCCATTCAGGCCGGGCGCTCAGCGGGGAACCGCCCTCGCGCTCTTGTCTGCTTTCGCGCTCTCGCTCGCTCTCCCCACCCCCCCGACGCCCCTTTTCTCGCTCTCGCGCGCGTTTCTCCCTCCCCCCCCCAAAAAAGTTGCACTTGCTGAAAGGAAGGAAGAAGGGAAAAAAGTTAGCGCCCAGCCGCAGAGGGAGTGCCAAGCGAGCGGCGTGCCAGGGGGAAACACGCGGCGGCACGCTTGCTTGGGAACTGTCAGGGAAGGCAGCCCGGATCTCGCTCCAGGCGCGCAGAGGAAAGTTGCTGCTTCCCAGTTACCTGAGATAGAATTGTAGAATTGGAAGGGACCCCAGGGTCATCTAGTCCAACCCCCCTGAAACGCAGGAATCTTTCGCCCAGCGTGGGACTCGAACTCACCACCCAGAGATTAAAAGTGAGCTGTTCAGTGAGGAGCTGCCGCAAGAGCTGCCGCAACTTTTTGCCCCAGCCTGAAACCGCTTTGCAAAACGAGGTTTCTACTGCGAGTCGGCATAATGTTCTTGCGGGCACATCAGCTACAAGTTTTAAAGAGTGTTTGCGCCCGAACTTAAAAACACACCGGGAGGGCATTTGCTCGTGTGAAAAAGGATCCTTGGTACAACAACCCATGATAATTGGTAATGACATACTTTACACCTCGGTGAAAACGACATAAGGCACTTGGGAGGGTTTTAAGCAGAGGTTGGATGGCCATCTGCCATGTATAATCGAGTTGACATTCCTGTATTGCCGAGGGTTGGACTAGATGACCCTGGGGGTCCCTTCCAACGCTATGATTCTATGTGTCTATGTTTAGGACTTGGGGCCTAGGGCTGCGATGGCACCCACCAGACTGTAAGCTTGTTTGTAACTATTTATAGGTAGACTCAGTATGCAAGGCGAGCGTCCTAAACGCCCTAAAACAAATGCGCCCTAAATGAATTGTATGGAAATAAATCGCACAAATAAATACAAACTCAACAAGTGGATGGGGAGCTTTGTAATTCGTATACAAGCGCATATGAAAGTCCCGTTGCTTTCATTGACTCTTCCTCTCCAGCACATGTGCTTAGGACCGAAGCGTCGATTGGAAGGAGATATTTTGGTGCAGTTACAATTATTACTGGCTTCAGAATAGATGTGAAAATAAGCTGTTGCCTTAAACGCCGAGACACGACTGCGGTAGTCAAGATACGCAACAAATGCTTCATGAGAGTTTCTTCGTGACTGTGTAGAAAGAACCACAACGATTCATTTCCCTAAGTAATGGAGATAACTGCTCCCATAAGCTGGTGTAAAAAGAATTAGTTTTGAGGGCGGGGTGGGGGGGTTCATCTCAAACGGCTGAGTCTCGCAGGAGACGTCAGATCCGCTTCTCCATCTCAATGAAGCCTAAAAATAGATCAGTCAGTTCGTGCTCTTTTTAAAAACGTGGCTGATAAAATGAATCCTCAGGATGCGCCATCCTTACTTTTGTACGATTCTTCTCTCTCCTTCCAACACTCCCGCCTCCACCGTTTTCCTGAACTTTCCGTCCTGTTTACACAGGAAAACCCTAAATCCCCGTGTACGCTCCTGCACGCCAGCGCTCTGGGAGGAAAGCCTGCCTTTGAGCTGCTGGGACTTACTTGAGGAACAGGTGTACAGTCCTCGGGGGAAATTTCGCGTGGAAGTTTCCTGCGAGGATGCCGGTAGGATGCTGAGAAATGTACGCTTGCGGATCGAACCGGAGCAGGCGTAGAGGTTGGCGCCCCGATCCGAATCCGTGCGTTTTCTCCACCCCTCCTCATTTCGTACAAGTCCATTAATTTAAATAGATGTGTGGATTCTGTTGAAAACTTGGGAGACCTATTACAAATTAACTGAATTTACGAATGGAGCGGCAAACAGCTGCACATTTCCTTTAAAAAAAAAATCAAATGCGCCAGAAAAGCGGGGTGTGGGTGGGACTGAGCTTTCAGCTCTGAAAATAAAGGAGGAGGGACGTCGCCTTCCTTCTTTTCGCGACCGGCAAAGCTGAACAAAACTTAGTCGCCGCAGCGGGAGCAAGTCCTGGAACAGAAATAGGCAGTAGTATTTCCATAATGCAAAGTAGCAGCGCCTGAAATAGCACCGAAAAGCTCTTGGGGCGGCGCTAGCACTTGGTTCAACACGCCGCACTGCATGGTAAAGGCTGACTTTTGGCAACGCGTCTTTCCAGTAGTTCTGCGCCTAATTTGAAACAGGCGGAGACGAGGTGAGCCAATTTCAGCCCTCGGAGTACATGCAGTCAGACGCATTCCCCATTTTTAAGTTAAAAGAGAGAGAGATAGAGAATATGAGAGAGGGAGAAAATCTTTCTGTTAGGGACCACGTGAAAATCGCCAACAGCTCTCCAGCTAGCCCTTAGGTCGCCGAGTTAGCGCATCGCGCAGGCGGCCAGGCGTTTGATACATTCATTTCAGGGGTTTCCATAAAGAGATCTTGCAACCCAACTATTAACATGCGAGCTTCACGTCCTCTTTTCGCCTCGTGCAACCTCGCGCCTGTTTTCTCTGAAGTAAGACCCACTGCCTCCAATGGGTCTTATTCCCTAGTGTGTTTAGGATTGCAGCTTTACAGACACCGTACAAAGTTAAAAGACACACACATAAGCATACCGGTGTGATGCAACTCACTATTATTATTATTTTGCCCCCAAAGCCGGCTCCGCAGGGCATCAACGTGTTTCCAAATTCATTTTGAAGCTTGATTGCTCATCAATTTTGATTTTTTTTTGGGGGGGAAGGCTACAGTATGGGGGTCTTTTAAAAAAGAGGGGGCTGGGTTGCCTGATAGATAGTTTTCGAATGAAATGAAAGCTTCTTTCGAAACAGGAATTTCTTGTTTTTTTAAGTATGAAAAATATATTGAGTTATACTTGAATTTCCGATATGTAATGGTTTAAACGGGGCGCGGGGAGGGGGAGTTCCAAACCTGAATAACAGTTTGGAAGTTATGTCCTGGCCTCCGTGTACAACTCTTGTTAAACGCAGCATGATATGGATCTGTCATCGATTTAGTGCGTCTTAATTCAAATATATGTCGCTGATCAATTCCCTTGTTTGTGGGGACTATAAACAGCGGAGAGATGGCTGGGTGGACAGACAAACATGGATGGCAGGTAGCGAATAAGGCTTTTTAATCGTGAAAGTTGTAGTGGACTTGCAGGCAGATTAATTCAAACCTATAATTTTCCCCAGCTGCTATCAGTGAAAGGGTTATCTTTGCGATAAGGCAACTTCTGAAGAAGCATGCTGTTTCTTGCATTAAATTTGCATACTGTCAGCTGCATTGCGAGGGCACGCACGGGAGAAACCGTGCACGTTACAAACAAGAGGCACGATCCAGCAAAACTTAAGCACTTTGTTCAGCAATCTTCCCATTGAAGCCAATGGGGCTTATGAGCAATTCGCGCTGGCTGGGTGGTGCCGCAAATGTTCCATACAGATAGAAAGGGCACTGTGGACCATTCTAGCCTCTGAATAAGGGACACGGCCTTATACCGAGCCAGGCCATTGGTCTATCTATCTCAGTATTGCCTACACTGACTGGCAGGCTCTCCAGGATTTCAGACAGGGGTCTCTCCTGGCCCTTCCTGGAGATGCCAGGGATTTTAAGATTGCTGTAAGTCTCTTCCTGGTCAAGGCAGAGATGTGCACCGTAATTCCGAAATGTATGTTATTCCAAGTAAGCGAACAAACACACTATTTGATTCTAAACCGTCAATCTATTAAATCTGGAATCTCTTCTCCTCCTCACGTTTTTTTGCTGTCCCCCCTTCCTCCCCCGCTTCTTTACTTCCCTTCTTTTCTTTTCTTTTCTTTTCTTTCTTTATTAATTTCAGTCCACGGCACGTTTAGCAAATCAGCTCTCCAGAGTTCGTGTTTTTGTTTGCTTGCTGCTTACGGCATTTGTTTGACGGCGGCATTATGCAAATATATGCTAATGATCACGAAGCCCATTTGCAAGTAGTTGTCTTTAGTGCACACATGTTATTGATATTTAGCGGGAGGGGGGGACGATATTCCAGAAGAGGGAAAATGCCTTCTGGGGAACAATTAAAACGAGAGAGCAATTAACAGCTCTTCTCAAGAAGATCTTTTTTTAAAAAAAAAAGAAAAGGAAAAAACAGCCGTGCAGGCAGTAGAGGCACGGGATTCTTCAGGCAGACAAAACAAACAGACACACACACTCTTGAAAAATCCTGCGCGCACACTTGCACGGGAGTAAGTCCTGTTGTACGCGGATTCTCCTCGGGACGCGCGCCTTGGATTCCTACCCACGAGACGACGCAGAGGTCAGCTCTGCGCTGTACTTACTTAGACGTAGCGTTCATGGAAGCCAGCACAGCTTTGTTTAGGAAAGGCAGGTCTCGTCGAGGGTAGCTGGAGGGGAGGGCGCCACCCACTTTCCTCCCCCGCCAGCACCCTCGGAGTCTGCTGGCTGCGCTTGGGTCCTCTCTCCTCTTAACCGCCACCACCACCCTCGCCCCGTCCTTGACGGCGCTGCGCGTAAAGGAAAAGCTGGACACCCCTCGCCCCAACCAGCTACCCAACATCCCTAAATGAAACCAGTAATACACTCAGGGAGCTGAGTCACGGACTCTTCGTGACTTGTCTAACCACTCTGGTTGTTCGGTTCTTCTGTTCCCCTGAACGCAGGCTCCCTCTCTCTCTCTCTCCCTCTCTCCACCTCTGCCACTTAACATGACCCGACCTGTCAGGTGTGCCTGGTGGCTGCCAAGCTGGCTT